AACCCTGACACTTTTGGTCTGTTGTCGCATGCCTGGCACGCTTTCATGTAGAGTTTCCTGGTCATTTAAGTAATCTCTTAATCAGTTAGGTTCATTTTCAGCAAGCCTTCAGTGTTTAACTTGCTGCTTAAGTTTGCACACCATTGTGGGTGATGATAGTTAAGATGGAAGAATATGTCATTCTTAGATTTTACAGAAATCGTGGCTCCTCTGAGCTTACTGATGAGCCTTCATGACATATTTTTACGTGAGCTTCATCTCCCCCAGGATTCTTCAGATCTAGTCCAGACTGCAGTGATGAGGAAACTGCTGTTTGAAATGTCATCCATGGACTTTGAAGTGTGGATTTCTCATGTTTGTTTGCAATTACAGAGGGAGCAAGAAAGCTGCCTCTGTGTGTTTGCATGACAAACTGTTGGAGTTGCATAGTGTGTAATCAAAGATGGACTTTCTGTTCACATTTCTAGGGACACAGCTCCCACTGCACAGCAGTCTGGATTTCCCAAAATCTAAAGGCAAAGTTGATGTCTTACTTCTCCCTTCAAATAGTGTGTGAGTTGAGGGTTTCACAGGGCATTTCTGGAGTTTGTTTTGTTTTTTTCCAGGTGGGATTTGTAGACACATTTTATTTATCAATACATTAAACAGCAAATTGTATCTAGCTTCAAGTGTCTTTCCATCTCCTTCACTTACATACCTGTAACAAGTGTCCCATAACACTTCCGTCAGATTATAGTCTCTCTTCATTTTAAGGTTGTTCTGAAAAACTGGCATCAACCAGCTCTACCCTGTAGTGAGAGGATAAAACAGGATAAAACAGGTTCCATTTGGAATAGTGTATTTTAAAATAGCTGTAGCTTAGTGGGACAAAATACTGTAAAATACGCAAGTTCTGTGAATTTGATGGCATTTAAGGAGTTTTTAGAGGATTTTTGCTTAATGCAGGATACTGTCCTTTCCTTCCGTGCTCATGTTATGTAGAGGAACTCACAATTTGCTAATCTGTTCATCTAATTTGTCTTTCACATTCCTGGAAAATCAGAATGGCTTGTATTTACAGGACTGTAATTTTATTTTGTATTGACCAAATGCATGTCTGTGTACTTTTTACACAAGTATGTGTAAAACAGGGCACATACGAGGGACTTGTCAGTAAATCACCAGCAAATTGTTTGGTCTGGGCAGGAGCAAGTAAATTTGCAATTGCAATCTGGAGCAACATGTTAGAGGCCACCTTCCTTAGATCAACTTGTGTATTGCAACACTTGCAAGTAATCAAATTGTAATGTACTTTAATGCAAAGCCTAGTTTGGCTTGGTTGGCAAATTAAACTATCGCATGCCTCTGGCAAAAGCAGAAAGCCTTTGAACTGTTCGACTGCAGCTGTAGCTTGCACATCTTATTTTCCCTCTTAAAAATCAAATTAAACTGTAACCTGCAGCCTCTGCTGTAAGTTTCAAGGAAAATTAAACTGTTGCTAACCTTTCTAGCAAAGATAACTGTCTGTAATCAGGCTGAAAAGTCCAGGCCCAAATTCCCCTCTCCAAGTTCAGACAAATTCATTGGAGGAAAACTCCAGGGCTTATTAATTACAACGATATTACCTCTGAGTCAGGAAGTCCTTGGCCACAAATTGCCCCAGACTGGGCAAGTTAGCCAGGAAGGGATTACTCTGTGCTTCCCCTCTTCTTTCACTCCTCCTACAGCATTTACCGTGGGTCTGTCCCAGGGGCAGGACACTGGACAGTTGTTCTGGTCTGCTTCTCCGGACCTCAAGTTTAACCCGAATTTAGAGCACTAATGGGCATGCTGCCCTCACTCTTGAGCATTGCCCGCGGTGGTCTCAGCAGTGTGTTTCGTGGAAAGCAGGGTTTGGGCTCATTCCCTCCTTTAGACTTGTCCTTGGCCCTTCCTCACCCCACACTAGCAGTGCCCCAGCTTTAGTCCTGACCCCTTGTGATTCCTAGGGTACAACTCTTGGATGTGATGATGTCCTTCACCTCCCCCACCATTCGTTATTTTCTGTGTCCTGCTGGCAGGAACACTTGGCGTTTGACTTGCCCTCGTAACATTCCTGTTTTTCTTGGAACTCTCAGAGATAAGATTTTTCCCAGCCTGGATGAGCTGCTGTTATTTCTATAGAGTCAGCGGTACAATAGGTCCTCTTGGGAGCCAAGACCTTGTCTGGCTAGTGGCTCAGGCTTACAAAGACTCAATCCTGCATGCTTAACATCACCCTTTGATTTCCAGGATTAGCAGTGACTGATGGCAGGTGAGGAGGCAGAACAGGGCAGCACAAAGGGAAAGAAATCAGTTAAGTTTGCATTGCAACATTTATTCACTCAAGGCCAGGTTAAGGCAACTTCTCTGCCTTAGAGGAACAGGAATTGTGTAGACAATATTGTTGGCACTGGAACCAGTGAGCAGACAGAAGTCTGTCATAGAAGTGACAGTGACAATGTAGAGGATCTCTCCTTGACTGCTTTTTTAGTACGTATACTATCCATGCTTAGTAGAATTCACAATATAGCAGTTAATGTCTCTGCACTATGGTTTTCTTATTTTTAAAACTTGGCTTAAAAGTTCTCAGTCTCTCTTAGCAAAGTAGGTGAAAACTGAACTAAGGCATATTAGTCATATTTTTATCGAGAGATGAAAGTGATAGAGATATAAAGTACTACCAGCTTTTAATTAAAATTGAATAAGTAAAAAACAGTTGGCAGTTGCAAAATTCATTATGATGTGTTACCAAAAATAGATACCTTTATGAGAATGCAGTTCTATTACAACAGTGGGCACTAATTAGCTATAAACATCATTGCTGAGATAGCCAGATAGAAAATGTGTTACTAATACTCATAACAGATTTCAATTGGCTGGAATGGAAAACTGGAGACTCTAAGACTTAAAATCTAATCTCTAAGACTACCAAAATAGATGTATGTACTTATGTTACTTAAGGCAACATCTGAATTTCAGGAACAATAACTTAGTGTTTTCTGCATCTGGTTTTAATTTGCAAGGAAAACTCAGTTTTAGAAAAATGTAACCTGACTTAGCTAAAATATGTATGACCTGGTGTTTTTATTTCTTCTTTCTATAGAACAGTCAGACTTGCAAGTTAGATCCTCCAAACTTTTATACATTTAATTTGGTAAAAAATCCCTTTGACCTTAATAGAAGCATCTTCCAATATGAGTTTACAGGTATAGATCTATGGTTTAGAGCATCTTACTGACCAGTTTGGGATGTATGTGTGTCTTGTGTAATCTCTGCAAAATTTACTGTAATTGAAAAAAGTTATTTTCTTCTCTCCTCCTGTAATCTAGACCGTCAAGAAATAACAACAAATCTGTGGGTGTTTTATCTGATTTATGCTAATTTGCTATTGACATGTTTGAGGTATCCCTTGCATCATCCCAGTCTTGCATATTTATTACTAAAAATATGAGCTGCTTATGAAAAGGAAGTATTTTAAATAATTATTAATTTGTGCTGTGATAACCTCTTGAAACCAGGGCCCCACTCTGGTAGACTGTGTACAAAATCATTGCAAATGAAGTGAAACCTGAAGTGTTTGAGATAAGCTTGCAGCAAGAGGACTGTTTGAATCCAGGAAGATTAATATATCCCACCTACAGGGAGTGATTCTGAACTCATGGAATTTCAACCATTAAACATGAGGCATCTAAATAATCTCCAAAGCCAGTATGAGAAAGAGGTAAACCCAGCCTATGATTTAGCTGACATAGTTTAGAGACCTGAGACCTTCAGGGGAGACTCAAGCACCAGTACTCAAGCTTGAGCTCATATTTTCAAACTCAGATGCTTCAACGTAGTCTCCTAAACTCTTGTGTTGGTACCTGAGTAAGCACACACAGCAGTGATAAGTGAAGTGGTGACTCCTTAGCAAAGTCAGAAGGTGCTGCATGATGTGAACATTCTTCCAGAAGAGGCCACTTACATGCCTGGCTTGGAATGCTGAGCTTTAAAAGTAGAATCACAGGCACAAGCACCACATTTTAAAACTTTACCCAGAGTCTTTGGTATCTACATATTATTGATAAAAAAAAAAATAAAAAATCCTTCATAATCAATCACCTGTCCTGGATCACACTAGTACTGTTGCGTTCTGACTTCATTGACCGACATAATGTGCTGGTACGCTGGAAATATGTGCCAAGTTCATGAGTTGAAACAAAGTACAGCATAGGAAAATGTGAATTTCCAGATGTTTCAGTAGGAAAGATTAGAGCTGCAGTATGTCAAAATTTGCAGATACATGAATTTAAGGAAATTCCGATCTCTTGTTCTTTGTTAGCATTACTCATAGGAAAAAAAACTCAGTATGGTATTTAAATAAAGCAGGCCATGCAGAAGCTGGCATCTACCAGTATTTGGAATATTGTTAAGCCTTGCTGTCTCAGTGGGATATCACCCATTGGTTTGTATTTCGAAAGCGTTATTAAAAATTCTACTTTTTCCCCAAAGAGTTGTATTTTCTTCAATATACTATGTGGTTATGATAGCATAAGCTTTATATATGAGCAATCTAGGAATAATAATCAACGGGTTTTCTTTTCTGAAAACTGGTAACCGTTGCAAGTCTTTTTCTGATGGCTATACCATTGCAGTTTATTTACAGTTAAATTGTGCCCACTTTTTCCTTTTGATCTGCAAGTGTTTCCTTTTTTTTAAGGGTACAGTGTATGATAAAGATATGTTTATATTCTTGGAGATGAAAGCCTTAAAATTATTGTTGACATTGGACGTTTGAGCTCCTTTTCCCCCTGAATCCTATTGATTGAATGAGGCCTTAGAAACAGAAATACCCTTGATGCTTGCCTGAGTACTGCTTAAGTGAATATCTGGGTCAGAAACATTCTGAATGCTTGGAAAACTTTTGGTATATTGGAATGGAGAGAAGGGCAAGCTCTGTAAAGTAGGAAGGAAAAATATGCAAATAAAAGCGGCATCCCGAGAGGTGCTGTGGTGGAGCAATGGCTGTAATAGCAATGCCAAGAGTACCTCAGGCAGAGATGTGCTTGCTCGTATGGCAGCGTGCTCAGTCTAGACTGGGTGTGAGAGATTGTGATTGCTCCAAGAGTGATGTGTGCTGTTATCATCCGGAAGGTGATGGCATTATACAGGCATGCAGGACTGACCGTAAGTTAGGAAACACTGGTCCTTAACAGATGTGGAAGACTGAATACCAGGGATGCAAAGATGCAAAGATTGGCTGATGGTGTGCAATAGCATCACAGGGAACCAAAGCTGAGACTTTGTAGAAGGCAAATCATGAAGTAACTCTAAACCCTCCGTGTTCACCTGTGTTTCTCGCTGTCCCCCTTTGCAGTCAAAGCCAATCAATGCAGGTCACTGAAGGATTTAATCCTCTCCAAACCCTGTGTAGCTATGTTGCAAATTAGCCTGTGCAGCTAGAGAGAGAAATATTGTCTTCAGCTTGGGACACCTTGAGGACTATACCCCAGGGGACTGCTGCAAATACATTGCAGAACTGCTCCAAAGGAATGAAAAGTTACAGCAGGTGTTAAGTTTGCTATTATTACCAGATAAGATTTAAAGATAAACGAATGCATTCAACTAAAAGCCTAGATTCACAATAGCAGAGCAAAGTTTGGAAAAGATAAAACAGCATGTACATACTTATTAAGGTTATATTTTGCAATATATATCCTCCGTAGCTGCACCTGTGTCTCCTCAGCTTTTGACTTTGGGTGGTTAGTTTCTGCAGGGAACCCCGGGCTGGCGTGCCCCTGGGTACGCAGGGTGGCTTATGCTTTGCCTTCTTCTTCTCGTAAAGGTAGAGACCTGCAGCTTCTCTGTCTCAAGGTGGATTTCTTCCTGTTTGTTTGTCCCTCATTCCCTGGCATTGGGCCATCAAGTGTTTTCTGGGAGATTTCAGTATTTCCTTCTGCCCCTCCTCCTTCAGGTTACTTCAGTAATATTTCTGTTGTCCTTCTCAAATAACACTTTCTCAGCTTTTGTTTTTCACTAATTATAGTCTTATTTAAATGCAGTGGCATCCCTTTACAAATGATGCATTATGAGAAATAGTGCAAATTCATTTTAAAGTATATATTGTGTGTACAGGCTATATAGCAAACCCATTTATGACATTCAAACACAAATTGATCTTGAGGATAGGACTGACAAATCTGCAAAAGCTCCACCTCATCCTTTATTAGGTTTTGGCGACTCATCTGCACATTACTGTTTTCTGGTGAACTTTGAGCAGAGATTACCAAAGGTTTTGCATAGAATCAGGCTAGCTTGCTTTCCTTCCCAGCCCTCTTTTCTGGAATTGGCTATAAATAGCCACATACACAAAAATCCCTGTGGTGGCTATTTAAAAGCTTTGTTCAGGGAGTGGTACAGAAATAGGTTGTGGCATCTTAGATATCACTGTGAGATAATGCTTGGCAAATGCTGGATTTTATTTGCTTATTTGAAGTATTGGCTATCTATATTAAATATTAAATGAAAATTGTCTTGTTTCCCATTATAGTTTGTCATCAATCAGATAATGCTGATGAGGCCATTGAACAAATCGATGAAGATATAGCTGTGACTCAGAGTCAGATGAACTTTATTTGTCCCATTACACAGGTATGTGATCACTGCTACTATAATTGATTGGGAAATAGGTATTTAATATTCTTCATTGGATTGTTTATTACAAATCTGCAATACTTGTTAAAAATCAGGCAGTTTAAATGATAAGCATTATCAGAGAAGAGCAACATCGCTTGGGAAAAAAAACCCACCTCCGTAGGAATGCAGTTTACCACGCAGGACCTGACCCCATAATTTCAGTGGAATGCCATGTATGAGTGGCAAACACACTTCCTGCTGTCTTACATAAAATCTCTAGATGCACTTTCATTATCAGTTCTTTAAATCAAACCTTATTGATTACAGATGGAAATGAAGAGGCCCGTTCGAAACAAAGTCTGTGGACATATTTATGAAGAAGACGCCATTCTAAAAATTATCCAGACTCGAAAGCAGCAAAAGAAAAAAGTCCGGTAAGCTAACAAGAATGTGTGGAAAAGCTATTTGCTTTGCTGCGTAAGTGGAATTTTACTCCACTTGTTCTAGGAAATGTATTTAGATTGGCAAGGCTGCAGGAAGTAATACTTCAGTGTCTGCCCAAGTCAGTCTCCTCATTAGTACTGTACATGTGAAGGAGCTTTTCTTTTTAATGAAAACAATGTATAAGGAAATATTCAGGAAGTGTGTGGGGAAGTTACAGCTACTTGCGGTACCTACACAACAGAAGCAAAGAGATTTCATATAGCCACGAACAACAAAGAGAAACTTCAGCTTCCTAAAATTCAGTTGCTCATTTTGTTCCCAATGCTTATTTAGCAAGCCCTGGAGTTAATGAAAAAAAATGAATGTCTCCTCTGTGCACCCTCTTTTGCAGTTATATTTCAATACAACTGAAAAAATATTAAAACATTTAAATGAGTGTTAAAGTAAGAAATATTAAACCACAACTTTTTAGGTAGTACAGAGTTTAAGAATGATCAGACAGAGCTTTAAGAGTGATCAGAAAGGATTGTGCTGTCCTACTACGATGCAATTATAACTTTTGCTTTATATCATCAAAGCAGCCTGCCACTTTCCACACAGGACATATTTTTTTGAATGAAAAGATATAACAGTTGAATTTTTAAACCTGAATTTCTCCCCAGTAAGTTTCAAATTTAGGATGCTTTTGATTAAAAAGAAAAAAAGACAGAGAGAGGAAAAGGGACTCAAACAGTTTTTAGAGCAAGTTTAGAGGACGTATCATTTCATCATTAATTTCACATTTGTTTTTACACCATATATGCTACAGCCTCATGCTTTGGGGTTGATGAGCTCATGGAAACTTACCCGTTGTGCTTTTAAATAAATGTGCAGTTTGCACATGCTCAGGAAGGTCTGTCACAGACTAGCAACCTGATTTCCCCAAAGATAATGACACAGGCAGCTTACTTCCTCTGTCCGTTGCTCTTGCATTTCTGTTAGACTCTGTATACTCTGCCATGGGGGATACAAAGGTGGAGTGGGACTTTTTATTCACAGTCCTTCCTGGCTACAGGAAAGCACTGCTGTGAAAGCAACCATCAGTTAGGATGTCCAGCCACTACCTTAGTGTCAAGACAGCTTGAAGAACGGGATGGAAGTGCTTTGCCTGTGTTATGAGGTCTAGGGAGAAAAAGTGGAGTGGGTGCAATATCCTGGGAAACACTGCTGTGAAAGCAACCATCAGTTGGGATGTCCAGCCACTACCTTACTGAAAAGACAGCTTGTAAGAACAGGATGGAAGTGCTTTGCCTGTGTTATGAGGTCTAGGGAGAAAAAGTGGAGTGGGTGCAATATCCTGGGAATAACAACAAAATCAACAACATGGATGGACAGAAACTTGTCTGGAAAAATAAATGGAAGTTTGGAAATAGCTCACAAGTTGGAGAGAAGAAAGTGAGTGTTCTGGAGGATGGGGACAGGCTCTGAAGCACGTGCTTAATGGCCCAAAACCATGACAAAAATACCTGCTGTAGTACGGAACTGAATTTAGGATGTTCATATTTAAATATTTCTCTGTGTTGTTAAATCTATGAGGAAAATGTCATGGTAGTACAGATTGTTGTGGTAGATTAAAAGTTTCAGCACTGCTGAAACACTAATAGAGTCACATGACTGAATTTTATTTTACCTTTTAAGAAATTCTAGAAATTCTAGATTAAAAAAAAATCACGTAAGCTGTACAACACCCATCTTTAAAAGCTACCTGATACCCACACTGAAGTTATTTGTGCAGTCTGAATACGGGCAGTTCTTAATTTTGAGCTTTTACCTTGCAACCTTACCATTTTTACAGCAGTTATTCCAGTATGCTAGAATAACACACACACAGCAATAACTCGGCTTCACTGTAGCTAAATTTAAGAAAGACTACTTGGTTTTCTCTGCCCAGTCTTGCTGACCTGCTGTAATTTTAACTTTTCTCATGAAAATGCAGTCAGTTTTGAAAAACCATAGTCTGCTGTGGTGGGAAGACAGGCCAGCTGATGCAACAAGTTCCCCATTTGAGTGCCCCGTTCTGGTGGTGTTGCTACTTGAGTGCACTCCTGCCAGTGATTTCACGTGGAAGCAGGTGTCCTGATGGAGCAGAGTCGTGGTTAGGGGGATGCTCTCCATCCTGACTCAAATCAAAGCTGTCAGTCACTCTGGAGTTACAGAAGTGGCTGTTGCCTCACACGTACTTTCCAGTTTGAATCCCTTTGGTGCACTTGGCAGGGCACTAGCTGAATGGCATTTCTTCAGCTGACATACGCACAGCCACCGGTTCTGTGCCGATACACTTGCCATAGGCTTCTTGAGGCAACTCTTACGTGTCTCAGTTTGCTCACTATTTTCCACTGCCTGGAAGGGCATACTAACACTTTAAGCTTACAGGAAATGTGGGAAGCTTTCTGAGCACTTGTTATTCATTAATCTGGCAAGCTATTGCTCTAATAAGGTGATAAATGGGAAAACTGAGGCACAGAGCAATTAAGTGACTTATCCATGACAAATACAGTAAGCTGTGGGCAAACCTGGAGTAAAAGCTATGAGTACCAAGTGTAAATAAGTTTTGGGTCTCAGACAAAAGTTACTCCTAATAGAGGAAAAATTCTGAAGTGTTATTTCTGACTACAGGTAACATCTGTGCATGTTTGGGCCACTAGCAAAGAAAAATGACCTTAGGTCCCTGAATATCTTTCACGCTGCTGTCTTTATCTGACTCGTTCAAGTAGATGTAAGACATTTTGTATTTGATTATCATTTAGAGACTGTTAATTTGACCCCATCCCTCCTTTCTGTGCTTTCTCAGTTCATAGAATACCAGGTAAATTTTTACACCACCAGTTCACCAGTCAGCCTTTGCAAGTCTCATTCTCTTTTATCTGTTTCCCTAGAAATTAATTTCCCTGTTTATCTGTCAGTGAAGATTATACTTCTCCACTACAGATTAATAAGGTAAGAAGTAGTTACCTGCAGTTTGTAGAGGACTGCAAAGAGAGAAAGCAACACAGAAAGATGTCCAAGCAATGCTAGTTCCATAACTGATGCAGGCAGCTTGTGTGCATGAAGCAAGAGAGTGATCTACAGCCGAGAGGCTCTGTCTCTGGCTGTGTTCCTTCCTTCCTTCAGCTGTTGATTCCCACCACTTTAGATAAATGGATTTATTTTTCCCCACAGAGAGCTAGTGAAGAGCAAAAGAGGTAATGAGGAAGTGACAGAGAGAGTGAATCCCAGATAAATACAGTAAACTAGCAGATGTTGTGTAAAAGCCTATATCTGACAAATACAATTCTTCCAATTTAATGTAGTCTCTCTTTTCTTTTTAACAGATGCCCTAAAATTGGCTGTAGCCATGCTGATGTAAAAGGATCAGATCTTGTGCCAGATGAAGCACTTAAAAGAGCAATTGACAGTCATAATAAACAAGTCTGGCCAACACTGGAGAAGTCAGCTGGATACGCTGCTGCCACAGAGAAAATTTGTTGTTAGAGGTCTTGTGAGATAAGCTGCTGATTGTAAGCAGGTTGTGTAACTGATTGTTATTTAAAGTGTTTCACTTATAGACAAAGTTGAAGGTCTCGGCTGTAACTCAAAGCATTTTTTAAACTGACAAACATGAGGAATTCCAGTTTAACTTGTTCAGTTTTTTTAACTTTCCTGAAATTCTAAAAGCTTGCATTTTATAAATAAAACATGTTTTGCAGCATTTAACCTTCCTTGTCAGTGTGCTAATTTTTTCAGCATATTAGAGATGCAGATTCTGCCAGCATGCAATAGCGAGTGCTTTCCTGAATATTGCAATAGTTCTGAACTGTTACTGTCTCTGTAACCGCTGGGAATCCTCAGAGTAGGGCACTTTGACCAAGGATTTTCCCAAGTCATATAGCCTGCTCAGGAGCACATCCATGTTTTAATACAAACCTCAGGAAACCTTAATAGAGCTTAATTTGCAGGAAGTGCTGCACATCTGTGCTTTGTGTATGGGCACACAAAATTGCCACTCCGCTTTGAGGACCTTGGCCTCATTGTTATAATTATTGAGCACGCTACACTAACTTACTGCTTTTCTTTTGAGATTAGGCAGCTTTTATTTCAGGCTTTTTCTGTTTGGAAGTCCCAGAGGGCTTTACCTTAATACAGTAGGTTAGGAGACTACAATTACTTACAAATGTATTCCACTAACTAATTTGTATCTAATACAAATGTATTGTATCCATATGCCTTGAAAGCAGTTAAAAAGATTCAGATATCTATGCATTTGGGCACAGATCCAAAAAAGGGCTTAAATTTTGTGACACTCCATGTTTAGTACCTAAATTGATCTGAACACATCTAGCAGGTAAGGCACTACGTATATGAATTAGAAATAGCCATAGGTAAAAGGAGCTGCCTTGGTGGTCAGATGGCAATTATCTCTTGGCATATGCGAAGCAGAAAACACAGGTTTATTTGAGCTTTGGGATCCTTGGCAGGTTAGATGGCATTTTCCTAGGTAGTTTTTCTGAATTTACAGTCTGACATTTAGTATAAAATGTAGCTAAGGTACCTAAATGCTAAGCTTTTCACTCTGGATTACTGTTTGCAAACAGCTTTCCTCTCATAGAACATTATTAACCCCAATTGCACTTAAAGAGTGCAAACCACTTGAAACTGAAATTGTTATTTTGTAATTGAAGAATATTAATCTGCAAGCTGATTTCATAGCTGAAAAAGGGAACTGAGCCATTATTATTTGCACTGAGCTTTTGTGTTCAAAACACTTCATGGGAATTAGCTGGGTAATTTTCATAATGCGGTCTAACCCCAAAGGTCCATCTTCTCAAAACTGAGCAGTGCTCGTGAGTGCTTCTGTCTGTGGAAGCCCAGCTGAAATGGCTGAAAGAGACTGGGGGAGGTTGAGCAGTACATACCTGTTTGTGTTTTTATGTGTAAAAATCAGGTCCCCTGTAAGACACCTCAGGTCTCAAATTTACAGTTTTTAAGATGGGTCTCCGATTTTCTGTTTCAATACCAAAAGGGAGGATGTTAATGCTAGCATTTGTAAAAAAAAAGAAAAAGGGGAGGCGGGGGGGAATGTCCTAAACTGTTCATAGCTTTTTGTTTCATCTTTAGGTTTGTGGTTAAACTCACTCCAGCGCTAGTTATACACAGAATGCTAAGAAACAGAAACTTGCATTAGTTAAACAATCTCTGCAGTTTCTGTCAGAGGTGCATTAACTTTGTCCTCATGGACATTCAATCTCCAGTGGTAATCAGTCTCACAAATTTCCAGATGTGAAGTACATACATTTTACATGGCTGCAGTGTCACACCTCAAATTCAGTTTGTGTAGGTGTCTGGATGTTTGAGTGTGCCTTCCAATAACACATAACATTTTAAATTCTAAATTCTACCCAGGTTGATTTGTACTGACAAACTGGTGGCAGCAGGTTTGGTTCGCTACATGCTGTGTTTGTATCTTAGATAGCTGCAGTTCCTGATAGGGTCATTACCCTCATGTTCCAGTGAGTAATGCCATACAGGAGATTGCTGTCTTGGTTACACCTTGTTGTCATACCTTAAAGAGAGAGGCTCGGCCCACAGCAGTGCTGATGGCCCTAGTGGAAACTGCACTCAACCTGTCTGTGTTAGCTAATCCACAGGTAATAAGGTGAATTGCCTGCTTAAGACAATGCAGCTGGGAGAAAAAACAAATCTGAAGCAACACTTTAAGTGAGAAGAGAACAAATAGTCACTCACTTATTGCTGCTCTAAGTGGAAAGGTATTTTTGAATGTTCACATTCCTATTATCATCCTTTGCTCCTTTGCTAGCCAGAGCCAGGCAGCGCCAGTGAATCAGAGCCTGAACAGCATGCACAGGTGCAGCCTAAATTCTGAAATCCTTCTCAGTTTTAAGCTGAAAGAAATGGACTGCTTTTTGGCAGTACTTACCTGCTTAGCTTTAATAAAAATCACAGATGAGGTGAAGAAGCATGTCTGTTTAAACAGAGGTAGGTTTCTTTTATCATCAGAGATCTGTCCTTTCAAGTGTGGCCACAGCCATATTATCCAGAAAAAGACAAATACTTCATGCATTTATGTTAGGATTGCTGATGAGAGCACTTAAAGGAGTCACATCAAAATCAATGATGCACTTCATAAGTTCAATTGCTTGAGAAAACTGCTTGTATTTACTGAAATCAATGAAGTTCTCACCAAAATGCTTGGCATTTCTGAATTTAAACTACATTAAAACATCCAAGGAATCCTAATACGATGAGTGAATCTTTTTTTTTCTCTGAACCTGGAATTTGAGCCATTCTGTTGATTTTTCATGGCTGGTTCTCTCTTGGTGTTGTTTCTTACAAGTAATTTTCCCTCTGAAACTCAAATATTGGCTTGGTCATCAGCATGAATTGCAGCTGGCACTTATACTGGGTGGAAGGACAGACTGGCCTTTGCAATGGGGGAAGACTTCTGTGCCTGTCAACTGACCTGATGGAAGTTATAAACTGCTACTGATCCATTGGGGTGGCTGTAGTTAGTGGCAGCTCTTTGCTCTTTCATTTGCAAAGTTGAGGGTTTGTTATGGAGTTGTGACCTCTCTGTTCCCATGTGCCCCATGTCCACCATAAACTCTGCTCTGGATAGAAATATCTTGAAAGAGTTAAAGAATAAAAAAAGTGTCTGTGATGAATAAGCTGAGCTGTATGATTCACAGAAGTGGAAGCTCAACAGCAGTTAAACCTTCAAATCTTAATCCGTTTGGCTATAAGATATCATATGTAAACAGGCATATGTTAACAGTTCACAGGGTAACTTGTGTCTCATTGTTTGACGTCAGAAATTTTGCAACAATTTTTAAGGAAAGAAACTCAGAGGTGAGGTGTTTTTTTTTTCCTGTTCCGTAAGGGGTGCTTTACAAATTCAGCAAAGCCTTAATGTAGCTGATAAGAGTCTGTCACTGAAACCTGGTGGGAATCTGTCTCTGCCAGACAACAGAAGTTCCACATAGTATTTTGAGTGATTAAAGAAACACCTAATCAAACATTTAGAATAATTAAAAAAAAAAAAAAAGGCAAGAGAGATCTCTATGCAACAGCTTTCAGTGGTACCCCAAAGCACAAGCCATTACACAGCTCTCTCACTCAAACAGATCCTCCCCATGAAGTAGAATTCTCCATTTTACAACTATAGACTCTCTCTGAAGTTTTCAAATCAGTGGAGCTATGACGTGTAAAGATAAAAACTAATCAGGCAGGCATCTCATGGAAGATTTAGCACACTTGTGCTAAAAGGAGCACACATTCCTCTGAATCAAGGACATATTCATCATTACCGCTCCGGAGCTGTGATCTTATTCATTCCAGAAGAATCAAAAAGACTCGGCTAAGTCAGTGCTCCCTTGAGAAATACCCGGAGCAAAAGCAGGGGCTGCAGGAAGTGATACCGATGACTCAATAGCCAAGGCCAACACACTGCCTTATTTTAGACAATGTCCTCTTGGACGTACTCATGTTTCCTCATGAGTGGCTGATGACAGAGGTCTTATCTACCTGTGGTCACAAGAACCTCATGACATTTTTCTTAAGAAGAGCTCTAGTATTGTGGCCAAAACCAGCTTAGAATTCACTGTGCTGCTGATTAACTTCCACTGCAGTTTCAAGTTAATCTCCACCTTCCCCAAAAATCTCCATGGATGGATCCTGAGGTTCTGTGTGGTCCATTAACTGGACATTTCCATAATGGATAGTGCTCCATTATACAGTGAAGAAGATACATGTAGGAAAGGGGCTTCCTGGAGTGGAAAATATTATAATATCCCGAGGACAGGTCTTCCTTTCTCGTGCTACAGCCAAAGCCTGAAGCTGATGGCTTCTCACAGCAAGCATAGACCAGTACTGGCTGCAGATCCCAAGTCTTCCATAAATACGGATTTATTTTCTGGTCATAGAACACTTACTGCTAATACATCCTGTTTCAAACACATGACAGGTCACAGCAATGCTCAAAGGAGAATCCTACGTGTAGGTGACAGCAGATTCTAGGCTGCCAGCCAGTAACTCTTAAGAAGTAAAAAACATTAGATTGATTGTTAAGCAGGTAAAAAGCTGGGATACCTGTACATCGTACAGTAGGTTCCCCTGTATGTGCTTAGCCCCTTGCTGCGTGAGTAATCCCCGTGACTTAATAGGCCTGCAGGAGGGTACAGAGAGCGCGCTGTGTTTCATCATTTCAGATTGCTCCAGAAAATGCTGCGGTGGGCTGAGAAGAGAGCCTGCCTCACTGGCTTATTCTGATGTTAGTCCAGGCCTGAAGACAGAGCTTGAAAGCACGCACATGAATTGAATTGCATGGGAAGCTTACCAAAGGAAGTGTTTGCTTGTAAACTCAGTATGAATAGGATCTTCTCTGACCGCAAGGGAAATGGAGAGACACTCATTCACTGCCTGCTTGTGCAATTAACTTCTGAAGTAAAAACAGGATTTGAGGTTTAAAACCTGAACCTTTACGCATCTTTCAAGCAACAGAAGAAGCCTTAATGCTCTTTAGTCCGCAAAGGAACAAAGTCAGGAGCTGCTCCTCATGTGGCTCCTTAGATTTGATAACAACTGGCTTATCAAAAGGGAATTATTTAGATTTCCTAGCAACAGCAACCCTCAGAGCAGCTTCTGTGTGGGCTTGAGGGGAGACATCTGAACACCATTACATTGCACTTCTTTTG